ATTTCAGTATACATCACGATTATTTGAATCTGTCAACCATCAACTAATGTTACGACATGTTACATTGAGCTAAAAAAGTCATTAAAAATATAGAATATCAAGCAATTGAGATACAAAGTGAATATTCAATTGATTTTCCTCACTATATTTGACCCTAATTTCCAAAAAGAAGGGGTACATAAAAACAAGAACAACTCCCACCTCATTGAATTTCTCCCCATAAACGCATGCAATTTATCCCCATACAAACTGAATATTCAATTGAGTTTCCTCAAGTTATTGTCGGAGGCATATATATAAATATAATTCCATGCTTTTTCAAACCATAGTGTATAATTAATTATTTGAGTATCAAAACTTTGAGACTTGTATAATTTCTGCGTCGTGGGGTGAATCGCATCTTAGTTGTACAATAGTACAAGAATCTATATTACCAAAAAAGGTGCAATGCATATGAAAATTAATGATTACATGCGCTAAATTTATATGAATTGAACCAAAAATAAAAAAATCTAGACCCACCAATTTGATTGAAAATTGTTAGTGTTAGGCATATTTCGCATTCTATTTCTACCGACCAAAGAGCCGTGTGATTGTCTTATAATATATGATAGATAGATGTAACTTTTATATGTAATGTAACTTTCATCATAATCTCTAATTTAATTAATGTATGTAACTGCCGCCAAGAAATATGAGGCTTATGTTACATAAATTCATCATGAGAAGTTGTACATTTGTGTGGTTAATTTTCATAGTTAGTCAAAGGTTTGTAAAGGTATTGTTGTATTGATAACTTTGTTTACATGCAATTATTAAGCACTTTTGGTTGGAATTCCATTAGTGTCAACTACCAATTATTTTTTCTTACAAACTCCAAATATTATAATATTAAATATATAGTCATTAAAACAAGAGGTTTAATACCTATTGGCGAGTTTTGGATTATGATAAGGTGGGACCGAAAACACATATCGGAGTTTTAAAGTTGAAATTACTGTGTTATTTTTCTTAGTGCGTTTAAAAAATGAAAAATATAATTTTTGAGTCTACATATTTATTGCGTATGTGGATATGCACAATGTATACGGGATATTGTTATGATTCTATTAAATAACCAAAAGATAATTGCTACTCATTACTTAAAAAGTTGATGAGCTCTTATTAAGCGCAATCTCAGTTAAACTTAAAAGATGTCCAAGTTCAAACTTATACAGTCCTTCACTCCTTCTGAATCTAATAAATGCATCACTTTGAATAATATATGTGTCAATGCATAACTTTGATAACTAACATCTTTCATTTTATATTGGTTTAATTTATAAAAAAATAATACTACTTCGTATGTTTTAGGAAGATATACATTGTGAGTTTATGACTTATTCAATAGAATTTCAAGTTTGGGCTACTCACACAAAATTTCAGAGTTTAGGCTCAACTTAGCTCTATGGACTGCTAGCAGAATTTATGGGCTTTTGTACATTTGGGCTATCTCATGTGATAGGCTGGCAGCCTATCATAAATGAACTTGTGCAGCATGTTTTAGTGATGGGCTTTTGAGTATTGGGCTAATTGACATTTTTTCTTCACCACTTGCTGATCATGCTTTTCAATTACAACAAATTATTTGCAATGAACCTTTTGGTTAATTAAATCCAGTTAAGCCACTAGGTGACTAGGATCAATAGATTTCTTAACTAGAAAATTCCTAAGGTTCCTAGCCAAATTTTTATTTCAAAAAAAAAAAAAAATTATATTAAATCAATCTCCGCCAAAGTAAGTAAGCTTTGGGGGAAAGCACTCGCACATAGGAGTTCAGAGTTAGGATCAGTAACCCATCGCGCAACTAAATGAGCTAATGAATTCCCACTACGCCTAACATGCTTACATTGAAAGGAAGAGAAAGAATTACTCATATGGAGAATATCCTCATAAATGAGAAAAATAGGAGCAGCACTCTTCTGATTTGTTTGAATAGCTTTCGTAACTTGCAAAGCGTCACTCTCCAGGATCACATCAGCATACCCAAGTCTATGACCCAGCTCCACACCAAACCTTGCAGCCCCTGCCTCAGCCATCACAGGACTCCAGCAAGCTCTACAATTCTTCACAGCAGTTGCCAATAACTCCCCATCTGACCCTCGAATCACAGCCCCAAAACTGACACCGCACCCCTGCGAGACATGAGCCGAATTTAATTCACCAAAAACCATGCAAAACGCTTCACACATTGCAGTGCTTACAGACCAAAACCCTCCACTAAAAACCAAAAATAAAAAAATAAAAATCCAGGTCATTGGACGAATGACGGTCATTAGTGAGCAACCGGTCTTACATGCATCCTTATGCAGCTAGGAAACATGCAACACCAGCCCAATAAAGAAGCAGCCCAATTGCTAAACTCGCCCAAATGCTTCAAAACGAAAACGCGACCCAACCGAATCCTTCACTTCCCAAAGGAGACCCACTCCAAATCCATATTATGGTTTTTAATTTACTATTATTTTTTTTAAAAAAAAAAAACCCTTTTACTTCTCATTAATTTTTCAAAAGGAAAATTCTGCAATTAATATCTCTGATTTTCTCTCTCTAAATTCCATTCTTCTCTCCTCTACATGATTTTTCTTCACTAAAAACTGAAAAATCAACAATGGTATGCGAGAAGAGATGCAAAATGAAAAGGATTGTCCTAAAAAAATGGTAGATTTTATCTGATTTTTGTCCTAATTTATGTAAATTTTTATGAATTTCAATGACTTTCATCGTTAATTTTCGTCAGAATTTTTCGATACTCTGTTTGAATTTTTTGTTTCATAATCATATTTAGAAACCAATGCTTATGTTCATATTTTGAATGATTATGTTCACTTTCTAAAATGCATATGTTAATATTTTTTAGGAAAATTTGTCAAAAATAACACCACCTTTAAGCGGTCTTCCCTAAATATCACCACCTTTTGATTATTTCACAATAACACCACCTTTGATACACATCTGCCAAAATAAAACATGACCGATTGGTAACCTATTTAACAGGTTACCTTGGACACGTGTCACTCTATCACTGGTTAATTTTTTTAACAATTTTTTAAAAAAATATCCTTAAAATAAAAAAAAAAACTTAAAATTGAAAAAAAAAAAAACAAAAAAAAGGAAAATCCCCCACCACCGCCACCTGTCAGGGTTGCCACCACCACGGCGCCTGAAAACCCTTCCCCGTGCCGGCTTAGCCTTTTCGCCGGTCGTCTGCACTATAAAATCCACCATCACAAAGTCGAAACCCCTAAACCACTTGATGATTTGGGGTTTTAAGGTTTTTGGATGGTGGTTCAAAGGGGAAAGAGGTGGAGACGGCTGATGGAGGGGCGAAATGGGTTCGCCGGTACAGGGAGGCGGTTTGTCCCAGGGGCGGAAGATAGTAGGGGCCAAAGGGGGCCAAGGCCCCCCTCAAGTGAATTGCTTTACATTGGTAATATTTGGATTTTAGTACAAGTAAAAGTATAAAAAATTCATGTGGCCCCCGCCAAACAAATAAAAAAAAATTAATACAAAACCAAACTCACACTTTATGTACTAATATTAACGCATGTGATGAGTTTGGTACTTGATATTTCTAGATTCTACTATATTATATTGTTAGATAAGACAAAATATAAATATTGCAACTAAATAAAAATAAAAGATAAAAGAATTATCTAATTAAAAAATAACAACTTGCAAACATTACAATTCACTTCAACACAAAATTACAAAAGGAAAGCAGTGAAAACCCCCAAAGTGACGAAACAAACAGTACATATCACCATTGAAGTTTCTTGCTTGCTGTTGTTGATTTTCCTTAATTCAGGTAATTTAATTATCAATTTCTACTTAATCTTGTTTGTTTACTTCAATTTTCATATTAATTACAGGTTTAGTGTGTTGAATAAATAGTTAGAGTGAGATTTTGAATTAGAAATTTTGGGGTTTAATACTCTAATTGTATATGTAAATCAGTAAATGTGTAAATCCAAACAATTATATGAAAATTGTGAATAATTAGAATAATTAATACAATTGCAATTATACTTGATATATTGCCCAATAATCATTAGATTTGATTATGCTTTTTTTGCTGTTAATTTTTGTAATTTAGGAATGACAAAGAGGACTATCACTTCTTATTTTCTTCCACAAAAAAAGGGCAGGGGTGATGAAGATATACCTGTTGTTGAGCCAAATCAGCCAATTATCATTGATAATGAAGAAGTCGAACGTAATATTAATAATGACAATGTTGATGAGCAAATGCCTAATGAAGAAGGTATTGGTCTTGATTTTTTAATGCGTGATCCTGGGTTGCGTAAGCAAATTGAGACATATGATTCAGATGAAAAAGATTTGATTAGGAGATCCTACATTGATTTTGGGCCATATCAACCTAAACTTGATAATTATCCATACTCTGGTTCCGAAAAACACCCACGTAGGTTCCAAAAAAGTTGGTTTGTGAAGTTTCCTTGGTTAGAGTATTCTCCCACAATGGATGCTGCTTATTGTTTCTATTGCTTTCTTTTTGCTAAAAAGCCTCTTGGAAGATGTGGTTCGGATACATTCACAGTGAAGGGCTTTAAAAATTGGAAGAAAGTAAATAATGGGAAGGATTGTGCATTTTTGTGTCACATGGGGAAAGATTCCAATTCTGCTCATAACTTTTCAACAAAGTGTTATTTTAATCTCAAAAATCAATCCGCTCACATTGAGAAAGTAGTAGAGAAAGTAACTGCAGAGGAGATTGTCAAGAATTGTTTACGCCTTAAGACATCAATAGATGCTGTTAAATGGTATTAGTAGTGAGATATGTTGATAGAAGTGGATTGGTAAGAGAGCGATTTTTGGATTTGGTCCATGTCAAAGACACTACATCAAAAACATTAAAAAGGGAAATTTGTGCTGTCTTGTCTCATCATAACCTTAACCTTCAAAATATTAGAGGTCAAGGGTATGATGGTGCAAGTAATATGCGTGGAGAGTGGAATGGGTTACAAGCTTTATTTATGAAGGAGTGTCCTTATGCCTATTACATTCATTGTTTGGCACATCAACTACAACTAGCTCTTGTTGCTGCATCTAGGGAAGTGCCACAGATTCATACTTTCTTTCAACAATTGATTTTTGTTGTTAATGTGGTCACTAGCTCTTCAAAGCGACATGACGAGTTACAAGCAACTCAATTGGCTGAAATTGAACATCTAGTTGAGATTGAGGGGCTTGAGACGGGAAAAGGTCTCAATCAAATCGGTACATTACAACGACCAGGTGATACTAGATGGAGCTCGCATTACAAGTCAATATCTAGTTTGTTAAGAATGTATTGTGCTACTCGCTTAGTTCTTGCTAACATAGCTAGTGAAGGAACAACTTATGCTCAGAGAGGAGATGCTCTTAATGGAGTTAAGTTGTTAATGTCATTTGAATTCGTATTTAACATACATGTTGTGAAGGAGATTATGGCCATCACCGATGGACTTTGTCAAGCACTACAATTGAAGACCCAAGATATTGTAAATGCAATGCATTTAGTTTGCACTACAAAGACATTACTTCAAACTTTAAGGAATGATGGGTGGGAGAGTTTGCTACATAATGTTAAAGTTTTTTGTGAGAAAAATGGTGTTACAGTTCCCGACATGGACTCTCCTTATGTTGATGTGCTTAAATCTATAAGGCAACAATCAAGACAAAAAGACAATGTGACAATGGAACATCACTATAGAGTTGATATATTTATGGCTGCTATAGATCGTCAATTGCAAGAGCTAAACGCAAGATTTAGTGAGCGAGCTACTGAACTTCTCATTTTAAGTGCGGCCTTGAATCCAAGAGATGGTTACAAGTCATTCAATATAGAGCATATTTGCAAGCTAGCTCGAGATTTTTATCCTATTGATTTCACAGAACATGAGAAAGATCATTTGAGTTATGAATTGCAACATTATTGGCTTGATATTCCTATTCATCCAGTGTTGAAGAACTTAACTACTCTTGGTGATTTATGTCAAGGATTAGTGACTACAGAAAAAATAAAAGATTATCCTCTTGTTTCAAGGTTAATTCGTCTCGTATTAACTCTTCCAGCATCTACTGCAACAACTGAGAGAGCTTTTTCATCCATGAAGATAGTGAAAACAAACCTTCGAAGTAAGATGGAGGACGATTTTTTGAAGGACTACTTAATAGTGTATATAGAAAAGGAGATAGCGGAAACACTTAGTGAAGATGCCATCATTGATGCTTTTTATATGATGAAAGAGAGACGAGCACAACTAAAATGATATAAGATAAATGATAAGGTATGTTTTTCTTCATGTAGTACTATGGTAATTTTTTTGGAATATGTTCTATAACTCTATATTCATTGCTTATATAAAATATATTTTTGTTGTTGTGATATGTGGATTAATAAATTGATGTGTGAAAATGTTCATTATTTTTATCGTCATCGTAGTTCCCTTTACTTTGGCCCCCGTTAAATAAAATTCCTGGTTCCGCCCCTGGTTTGTCCGGCAACCGATGAGAGGAGGGGGGTTTTCGAGGGGAGGGAGAATGGTTTTAGGGTGGAGGAAGGTGGTTTATGGGAAGGGGGGGAGGGGCTGGGTGGTCGGGCTGGTACCGCCGAGTACGTACAAAGCTCTAGTGAAAGGGGAAGGTGGAGACGACCGGTGGAGGGGAGGAATGGGTTCGCCGGCATAGGGGAAGGGTTTGGCCTGGCCGGTGGTTGGTGAGGGTAACGGGGTTTCCCAGGGGAGGGAGAAGGGTTTTAGCGTGGAGGAAGGTGGTTCAGGGGAAGGGGAGTGGCTGGGTGGTCAGGCTGGTACAGCCGGGTACGGAGCTCTGGTCGCCACGTGGTGGCAGCCCTGGCGGGGTGGCTGTGGGGTTGTTGTCGTTAAGGGGGAGGGGTTTTCTCTTTTCTTTTTTTTTTTTTTTAAGTTTTTTAATTTAAGTTTTGTTTTTTTATTATTCATTATATTTTAGAAAATTTGTAAAATTAAAAAAAAAAAAATTAACCAATCACATATGTGACATGTGTCAGATCTAACCTATAAAACAGGTTACCGGATTTTTGTTTCATTTTTGGCAAATGCAAGTGAAAGGTGATGTTATTCTGGAATAATCAAAAGGTAGTGTTATTCTTGAAGATCAGTGAAAGGTGGTGTTATTTTTGACAAATTTTCCTATTTTTTATGCCTATATTCACTCTCTGAAAAGCCATGTTCGCATTTAAGAGAACCTATGAATATGTTCATATTTTGCATGATTATGTTCTTTTTCTAGAATTTATATATTCACATTTTTTTTTAATATGTACATATTTTTAATACTTACTAGTTGTTGGCCCGCGCGTGTACGCGCGCGGTCCCCCAATGTGATTTCGTCTCGGTAATTAGTGTATAATTAGTCGTAGTTTTTATGTTAATGTAATTGCTTGCATTTTGTTTGTCGATTTTCTTTTACTCTTATTGGTTAGTGTATTATTATATAATGATCACTTTAGGTATAGTAAATAGTAAAGCAAGCATAGAGGCCAGAGTGGGCAGCGAGATGGCTTTTTTTTACTATACATTGGATGGCACGCAGAAGGCACATGATGTGAGTATTGCTGAGAATGCTGCTAATTGTACTGATGAGCTGGATAAATCTCAACAGAATTTACAACTAACTGCCAGTTTGGAAGATGGTAGTTTGGGAATAGCTGTTAAGGGGAATGATTGTCGAGATATTGCACGCAGAAGGCACATGATGTGAGTATTGCTGAGAATGCTGCTAATTGTACTGATGAGCTGGATAAATCTCAACAGAATTTACAACTAACTGCCAGTTTGGAAGATGGTAGTTTGGGAATAGCTGTTAAGGGGAATGATTGTCGAGATATTTAGAATTCTGTTATAATAGAGAGATTGTAAGAAATGAGCTATTAATATAGTCTCAATATTGTAATGGTTTTATCATCAATTAATCAAATCATTACAACTTTCCCATAATTTTCTCTTGAATACAGTCTTGTTTTTTTTTGTGGTGAACACCCTCGAGTATTCCTTTCTTTCTATGTGGATATTCTTTGGGATCATCAAGCTTGATCCTCATTACCTAGAGTGGTTGGATTAGCATAGAAATTCAGCAGGTAGTGACAAATAAATAATTGTATATCACTAATGCTTCAACTGAAACTGGAACGACTTACAATATAATGTCAAAGAAATGTGTTTAGATCACAGAATTTAGCTTATTCATTATTAGAAAAAAGTGTGATTTTGAAGCCTGTAACTATATGAATAGAAACTGAACAAATTGATGTATAAAATCTGGAAATGGATTAAGTAAATTAAATTAACAATTTAAAAGAATTAGGTATAAAATTAAACTAAAGTTTTCAATGTCTAAATTGTAGACAAATTGTAAAGTAATTCAATACAACAAAGCACCACAAAATATTTTTGATATGGACAATAATTGTAGGAAGTAAGTCTTAGGTGATATATGTTTTGGAAAAAAAATTATAAAGTATTATTTTATCATTATGTAAAAATGCACTAATTATAGAATACAAATTTCTATTGAACATCACGCAATATGCTAAATCTCTTAAATTAGAATTGAAATTCAATGATTGAATAATAAACTTCAATTATTGATTAACCTTGTAACTTTAAAAGTTTTACCAATTATTGTTACTTTATGTCACTTTTGTTGTAGTGTACACTTGGTCCCTTTCCTCCCCCGATTTTTCCCTCTCTCAAGTTCCCTCTATTTCTCTTGGCTTTTCTCTATCTCCCTCTTTCTTTTGTCCTCTCAATCTCTTTCTCTCTTGGGCCTTCTCTCTCTCTAACGGCCTATCTCTCTCGATCTCTAACCCCTCTCTCCTTGTATTGCTCTATTTCTTTCTCTTTTGATTCTTATTTCTCTTTTGTGGCCGCCAGTCTCCTAGTCTCTTTATTTTGCTCTCTTTTTCTCTCATCTCCTCTTTCTTTCTTTCTTTGTCTCTTCTTGCGGCTCCTCACTCCGGACTCTTTTTCACACTCCCTATCTCTCTCATGTCCACTCTTCCTTTCTCTCTCTATTGACCCCTCTCTTTTCCTAACATGCCTTCTTCTTTCCTCTCCTCTTCTAGCCTACCCTTTATACGTTAGCCCTTTTCTTTCTCTTGACCCCTTTTCTTTCTCTCGGCCCCTCTCTCTTCCACATCCTTTCTCTAACTTGGATTCTTCTCCAATAACGCATCCCTATATCCCGCCCTTCTCTTGCTCTCTCCCATGTTCCTTATTTTTCTCTCGCTCTCCCTCACCCCCCCCCCCTCTCTCTCCTACTCTTTCTCCCCCTCTATCATGATTTTACATTAAGGTTGATTTTTTTCCTAAACATATTATTAATCAATTTTCATTAGTATTGAGCACATAAAGTTGGCAATCAAGTGACCACATCTCTCTTTCTCAGTCATTTCTCCTATCACTCCATCCTTCCTTACTTTATAATTTTACAAAATTCATAAAGTTAATCTTTACTTGCATTCATACCACCTTTCCAACCCTCACTTGCTCTCCTCTCCCTTTTCATCTTCCTTTACATTTTTACACTTAATCAGTATGGTTTATTAAATTTTAGAATGTTTTCAAAAGTACTTTCTATCACCTTTTAGATTACATTGTAAAAAAAAAATAATCTTCTAATTAAAGTGATCTTCATCACATTCTTCTTTTTTGAACCCCCTCCTTATTTTTCTTTTTTTCATTTTCATTTTCACATTTCTAATTTCTCTCATTTATCTCCTTTATAACAGTTGTATCTAAATTAAATACTAAAAATGGTCTCTTAAAGTGTTTTGTTCTCACCTACTCCTATTGTCCCAAAGCTCTCCTCTCTTTCTCTGTTTTTCTTCCCCTGACCTAATCTACTTACTCATTATTTGAAATTATAGGTATATACTTGCTTACTTTTCACAACTTCCTTCCTTTATTAAACCAAACTCCCTCTTTTTTTAAAAAAAAAAAATTATAGGTAGTACTTGTTCCCCATTCCCTCTGCCTCCCCACCCCCCTAATTTAGCACAAAACCTTTGTTAAAAGTGCTTATGATTCTTATTGATTACGAGCCAATCAATAAGCTTATCATAATTATAAGTTTTACTTGTTGAACAATTACCTTAAAGATTTTCACTTATTATAACATAAATAGCTTGTTCTTGTGTCGTAAGACTGAAGTAACTGTTATAGATCATAAAAAATTCAGTAATTCTAGATCAATGACTGTCCAGGTAACTATGAGTAATAAAAGTCCAAGAATCATTAAGTCAATACTCAGATTTGTCTATAAAATTTTGATCCCAATGGAATTTCAGTCATTACATTGCATTTTCATGAAAAATTACCAGGAAAACAATTAACTCAGCCAAGATTTCACAGTACCAACCTTTTTTCTCACAGAATAAAGAAGAAGCAAGTTAGAAAAGAAAAGTAAATATGCAGCACATATAAATATAGAATTTGAAAACAAAGAAATAAACCAAAGTACATATTCAATATATTTTATTAGCAAAAAAAGTTACACCATATAAATTGCTCCAGCCCCCCCCATAAACAAAAATATTCATGTCTCAAATTTTAAAATAATATTAGAGTACATACTAAGCCCCCCCCCCCCCCCCCTATAAATCTATAACATATACGAAGCATAAAATACTTCTATCTACGGAGTATTTTTTTAAAATACACTCCATCTTCCAGTATAAATATACAGTTCTTGAACACAATCTCATTTTCCAGCCACAATCTCATTTTCCAGCCACAACCATCAATTAGTTGAAGTAAATACACTTTGCCCAAATTAAATTACATAACAAACAAACCACTTACCATTAATTAGTTGAAGCAACTACTAACCACACTTTTCCCAAACTAAATTACATTAGAAATCAGACCACTTACCATTAATTAGCCGTAGTAACCACACCTTTCCCAAACTAAATTACAAGCTTAACCAATTTAACCAGGTGAAAGTGCAAATTAAGACTCACAAACCTTACACCACGCAACAACCAGATGTAAAATTGCAGCACCGCAAGCTCCACGACACCACTCCATCGAACGAACTGCTGGAAAACAAAACTAAATCAGCGAAAAAGATTAACAATGGAAAATAGGGGGGGAAAAAAAAGAAAAACAAAATTAGACATAATTAACGAAGAACGAAAGAGAGGGTAGGTATGAGTGCCAAGCTTGCTGTCAGCAATGGAGAATTGCCCACGCGTCAAACTGCAAGGGGAACAGCTGGAATGGAAAAA